CAACCATTGTGCGGCAAAAAACGCCGTAGTCCAGACTATCGATATCATCGCGACGATACTAAACTAATTCCAGAATATCTTGTCGCCAATAGCGCTACTGGCTGGGCGGCTTGTGCTGGTTGATGGCTTCGCTTCGAACAAGACATAACGTCTGGTTAGAGTTTGGTTCAGAATCGAACCACCTTCGGACCGTCATTGTCATTACCACGCGATCTCTCTGCCATTTGTTCCGTTTAAGTCTGGACCCGTCTATCTATCTATGCAAGTGAAGTCGTTATCGGTTGCAGGGTCATGTAGGATCCGGCCACAAGCCATCATGAGCTATCTTGGGCTAGCCTTATTCTGAACTATTCAACCACACCGTATCCGTGATATCGGCCGTGATGGTGAGTTGTCTCTGAATCTGAAATGCAAGGGCAGCATCTGGAGATGGCGTGCGAGCGGCCGCTCACATGGTGGAGGGCAGGAACGGTACTAGCGCTTGTTGGAGGTCAAAAAATTTGCAGTGCAAATGATGCATTACCAAGCTGAAATGACGAAACTAAAGAATCTAATTCCCACTCACACTGGTAAATTCTTTTCGCACGATGTGCCTAACTTGTGCGAAGTTCTTCCATCTGTACCAGACTCCCGGCCCCTGGCTCGCATCGTACCTGACTATGCGGTCGCGGTTTGGAAACGGAGGCTTGTCCAAGTTCGTTTTAGCAGATAAAATTGAGATCAAAGGTTAAGATTAGATAGGGAGACCGGTCCTAGGCTGACAACGGCCCACGGGAGCCGAGTTAAGGAGAAGACTTCCTTCTTATGTGCGCACCCGAAACGATGGGGATTAGCGAGCCCGAGACCCAGGCCGAGGGCACTGACTGACAACCGACCGGTAGCTTGTAGGGCGGATAATTGAATCCAGAAGAAGATTCCAGTATAAATTTGGTATAAATCTTCGTACATTGGCTAACATAGCGGCTACGGTAACCTTGCCATAGCGAAAGCCAGAAAAGACTCAGCCAGGAGTGAAAGTATCCACTTGGTTTCCGAGTCGAGGGGAAATCCAGCCTATTTCGGATTCAGAAGACGGGGAGGAATTTTATTTATATACGTAGCGAGGTATGAGTATTGATATAAAGCGTCCACGAAAGACGAGGGATTTTAACATCACACTACGCGGAGACCACTCCTCTTTCTGATTTTGGGTCAAGTATTCCGAATTCGATCTTCTGTCGTTTCAGATATTGCACCTGGCTTATCCTTCCCGGATTGAAGTATTACCAGTTGAATGCACTGAATAATTACCACAAAGAACATGAATCAGGAATTCGAAGCAAGACCATGACCAGCCCTTTGAGTCATCGCTGATAACTGTTAAGTCATAGTCGAAGCATCCACACTGAATCCACTCGATGAGCTCAAAGTTGATGTCATGTTCTAGACCCAGTTCGCGGGATATAAAAACGACTCCGCAGGTCGAGGATCTTCAAACTAACTTATCAGGGAGGAATTTTGTTTATATACGTAGCAAGGTATGAGTATTGATATAAAGCGCCTACGAAAGACGCGGGATTTTAACATCACACTACGCGGAGACCACTCCTCTTTCTAATTTTGGGTCAAGTATTCCGAATTCGATCTTCTGTCGTTTCAGATATTGCACCTGGCTCATCCTTCTCGGATTGAAGTATTGCCAGTCGAATGCACTGAATAATTACCGCAAAGAACATGAATCAAGAATTCGAAGCAAGACCATGACCAGCCCTTTGAGTCATCGCTGATAACTGTTAAGTCATAGTTGAAGCATCCACACTGAATCCACTCGATGAGCTCAAAGTTGATGTCATGTTCTAGACCCAGTTCGCGGGATATAAAAACGAGTCTGCAGGTCGGGGATCTTCAAACTAAAATATCCTTACGATGTCTGGAATCCAGAACTACAAAAACGCCACCGATATTACCGACCAGGGCATTGTGGATGGGAGACCAGCAGGTAAGTACCCTTGGTTCAACCAGCCAGATTAATATTCTTGCCTCATGCAAAATTCCCTGTTCTTGCCAGGTCAACAGCCCCAACCCTCGCCCGTCACTGTCGGCACCTACGCCGACAAAAACGCATCGGCCGAGAACGAGAATCAGGCAACGGATGCCGGGACGGGGTACGATCAGCTCCCAGGTGCGACCTCCAAGGACGTAGTGGAGAGTGCGGGTCAGCCTGGTTCGGGAATGTCGTCCAAGGAGTTGAGACACAACGGGCAGCCAGGGCGGAAAAGAGAAAAACTTGGAGTTGATCAGTATGGGACGTCGGCGAAGGAAGTTGAACCGTGATGGATTCAGATGGAAGTCGGAAGCGAGGTGAAAGATTCAAATTTACTGAGATACCGCATTGCGCAGCCATCGTATTGAATGGTAATGACTCACTGCAAGTTGAAGTTGCCGATTTCTCCAGGGCCGCCCCAAATTGAAACAAAATGCCGCGGATGATGTAATTCTGCGCATCTTTCAAGCGCCCATGGCAACGCAGTCGTTTTTTCGCTGTCGCACAGGTTCCGTCTACGCGTGCCAATCGAAATTGAAAGAATTGCGCAAAGCTGTGAAATGCTGTTGACGTGTTGACGCGTTGTTATTCGCGGAAGCCTTTGCTTCTGATCGTCGGCGTTGTCGCGCCGCGAGTGATCTGTTACCACCCGAAAGCTGTTACCACTCTACTAGTATAAGTACTTGGTTTTGACGTCGATCTCTCGTTTTCTAGAAATCTACTCTTCCCATGGAGACCTCAAGCAAGGACTCTGAGACGAATACGACTCCACCCGATCGTCCCCCAGTATCCCTTTCCGCCGTATCTGAGTCCATCGATGCAGCGGATGGGGAAGCAGATGCCATTCCTGCTGCCCGGAAAATAACTATTGTGGAACCAGAGAAGCCGACCAAAGTTACCACAGATGCGGATGCCGATGAGGCTCCTGTTGCTTCGACCAGCAGAGAAGGGAGCCCACCGGCGGAGGAAGAAGACGCGTCGGCAGAGGACCATGAAGGAGGGGAAGCAGGGGAAGACGGGGAAGACGGTGAAGACGGTGAAGACGGGGGAGACGGGGACAAGGGCGACTTCGAGAAAGACGACGAAGAAGACGAGCTTGAAGAAGCTTACTTCTGGCACGACCAAATCATCGGAGAGTTGCGCCGTGTCTGCCGTGAAGGCGACCCGCTCAACGCCTACAAGATCCTCGACAACCTCAGTGTGGACCAACTCGGCAGGACCAGTTACACCGCACGGGCCTCGCGCACGGGTGAGACCGTGGTCGTAAAGAGCAACGTACTCGAGGCTCCGATCGAAAAGTTCGCAGGCCAGCGCCTGATCACCGAGTTGTTCCTCATGCGCGACATGCTTTCCCATCGGAACGTCTTGAGCTTTTATGACCTGTACCTCGTTGAGGAGTCCGAGGTGCTGCTCGTCACGGAGTACATCGCGGGCGGCCATACCCTGGGCGATATCATTGCCAACACAGCCAGCAAATTCACGGAGGAGCAGATTGCCCGCATTTGTGTCGAGGTGGGTCCAGTTCCGACATCCTGAATTCCGTTTCAACCGAGGTTGTTTCAGACATGCCAAGGACTTGCGCATCTACACAGCCAGTTAATCATCCACCGCGACATGCGCTCCGACTCCATTATCATCGACGCAAAAGGCCGTGTAAAAATCAGTGCGTACGCGCTCCTTTTCTCGCCTTGCATGAAATAAATAATATTCTCTCCCAGCCGGCTTGGCCTTCTCCGTCCAGCTGCCCGACAAGGCGGCCAAGCGCCGCACCATGGTCAGCACTCTCTCGCTCCCCAACCGCTCCCCGTACACAGTCGACAAGACACACTGGACCGCGCCCGAGGTCATCAAGCGCAAGGAGTACGGCTTCGAGGTCGACGTCTGGGCCTTCGGCATCACGATGGTCGAGATGATCGACGGCGCGCCGCCGTACGCCGGCCAAGAGCCGCTCAAGGTGCTCTTCCTAATCCTCGTTAATGGCGCGCCCGAGCTCAAGGCGCCGGACGCGCTGAGCGACGAGCTCAAGGATTTCCTGTCGGATTGCCTCGCTGTGGATGTCGCACAGCGCCCGAGTACCAGCGAGCTTCTCGAGGTGCAACCAATTTATTCTTCAGAATGGTTGGTTGATTTTCGTTACTGAGACGCATTTTTTTCAGCACGAGTTTTTGAAAAAGGCGTGCCCGCCGGGCGAGTTGGCGCCGCTGTTCGAGTTCAAACCTAAGCTTAAACCTGAGGAGGTTCCTCTACCATCCGACGATGAAACATTAGACTCGGCTGAGGCTTCTCAACCAACGGATTCGACTGCCGAGGCCGAACCCTCCGCGGCCTCACAGTCTGCGAATCCCTTGACCGCGCCTGTGGTGTCCGAATCGCAGGACTCTGCTGCCTCTCCCCATGCAAAGGAATCAACTGAAGTCACGCCCTCCGCAGTTCTGGAAGCAGTAGATTCCCCACTGCTTGCTGTTGTGGGGACATCCCCCATCCTCGACGCCGCTGTAGATTCTGTCGTGGAATTGACCACGGCTGAGACGGTTGAGGGGACTGGCAAGCCAGTTGACAGCGTTGCGCCTCCAACTCTCAATCCCATCGCGCCTGATGCCTCCACGTCCATCGCGGTCGTGGTTGATTCTGCTGCAGCTCCGGAGGTTTGACTTTGCTGCTGCTCTTTTAGATGGAGGAGTCTGCTTGAATTTGGATGCGGTGGAGGCAAACATCAATCTGATGGGGTATATATAGAAAAATTCAATTCTTGGGGTTTGTGCTAAATGAAGGAATCATTGGTTTGAAAGTTCAGTTCAGTCTTTAGTGTGTTTTGAAGATATCGCAACGTTTCCGATATGTAATACGCGAGCCTACAGTAGCGCGAGATCAAGAGTTAATACATACTACAGACTAGAAAATTGAACTTCAACCCATGCGTGCTTCAGGAGCCGCAAGAAAATACATTAGATTTTCAACCAAAAAGGCTAAAAAGAAACTCTCGACCTGGGAGTCGAACCCAGCTTTCGCGCGCGTACGCAATTATACCAGAATGACAAGCGCGTGTACTAACCGATATACTAGTCAAGACATGAGAAATAATCGGTTTAAAGCAATCTGTAGCCGTGGGGCGGATCGTATGTGTCGATCTTAACAACACACAATCGATTCATTATTTAGATTTTCGTTCAACCTGAGCTAAAATGAATCTGGTGGACTTGTCCGGATTTACCACATCTTCTGATCCGCAATAGTGACTAGTCTTTGCCGTTACTCTTCGAGACTGTGAAAGCGTAAATGGACGTGACGATCATGATATGATGATGATCATGCGAAATCGTAGAATCGCAGCCCAAAATCGTGATAGCTCAGTGAAAAAATATGAAAGTACAATGGCGTAGCCTTTAGTACATGACGTTAATATTTATAAATGATTAAAGGGAGGAGCGCGAATTCACTGAAATTCCTGTCGATATACTTCAAGTTGGTCATCCGGGACACTCGCGAAAACACTACATTCAACCGGGTGCGTTCCGAGTGCATGGAACATCAGTGCAGAAATTTCCTGGTCAGGGTTGTATGTGACGAGAGCCCTATTGGGCGGATAAGTCGATTTGGTTTCAGTCAGACAGTGGATGAAACACACAGGCAAATGAGGCAATTTTTGGATCGGCCTCCTTCCGCTGGGCGGAATAAAATATCGAGATGCCTCGAAGTGATAATATTTGATACAGAGGACGGTACAGTGTTGTCCATCGTGTCTGGAGGGTGCTTGCGTGCGGAGTCTCTGTTGGAGCTCAGATATTTCTGAGATGAGTGCGGAGCAGGTACGGAGCTGGTGGACGCATGGCAGTGTGCTCTGTAGTGATTAGTGGACTGTTGTGCACGTGGTTACTCCAAACGTCGAGGATATGGTATAGGACACGTACGGTATCGAGCCTCGCTAATTTCAGTTCCGCCATGGCGGCACGCTCCTCCGCTTCAAATAGCGCCTGGGAGAGCCTCTTTCGCTCAGTCAATACTGGTCGCTCAGTCAACGTTGGTTTTCTGAACCTGAGGACCCGACTTACAGTGATCTATTCCAGCGCTGAGGGTCGAAACAAGGGCTTCCTCGATTTGAGGTAGGTCCCTGGACGAGGCTAATCCGCCGACCGCCGACTTTAGCTGGTCATCTATTGAGGTGGTGCGTGACGCGGATGAGGCCGCCTCAGGAGGGACGAACAAGCGTTGGGCTTTTTCTTCTTGGAGAAGAATGAGACGTACGCCTGCGGACGGACCCAGCATACTGTCGACACAGGAGTACCCGCCCAGCTTTTGCCGCGCCACCAATTTCTCGCCGCTCCAATCACGTCCCAGCTTGTCACGATGGTACCAACTAGCTTGCTTGATCGTGCACCAGAGGGCGTAAATCGGCAGGAACGGATGTGGGATCATGCGTTCTTTGTCCAGCGTCGGGCCTGGCCATCTGATCCATTCTTTCTTCGCGTTCAATGCGAATAGCGTGTATGAAAGGCGAGAAACGTTCAACCAGATATCTCCGGGATTGCCAATATCAACTGGTGGGTCGAAAGAGGAGCGGAATTCGATGAAATGTATGGAATAGCGGTCCTGTTGCAACTCGGGGTGAAAGGGGAAGTCGTCAAGTTCCACATTTTGTGGATTGACGCGGAAGGCCCTCCATTTGAACTGGAATTCGATAGGTGACGAGGTTCTTGGTGTGTAGTTCTGCGGGCCAGGTTGTTCTGCCTTCATGAAAGAAGAAAGAGGCAAAGATTGGGGGTCACGGTCACAAGAGGTCACTGCGCTTGATTGGGCTACAGCGGGGTAATAATTAAGCGAAACTCAACCTGAAGGTGAACCGGTTGACTTGCAGCGGCCTTTCAGGTTCGCAAATCGTACAGTGGTAACCCGGAGGAAGCCGCTCGGAAAAGATCCTAGACTACAATAAGTAGTCTTTATAGCATGTAAAATGGAAAGTAGAAATGAATCGCGCCACCGATTTCTTCACTATTTCCGAGCTCACCTTGTGAGTCCGCCGGAAGCTTGTTTCCCTCCCGATCCCTTCTCTTCACGCACACTGTGTTATGGACCCAGGCTTGGGGATGCCGCCTCTGAAAGTTGAATTTTCAATGGTTGAACTTGCGACAGGCCCATCCATGATTATAAATGTGCTAGGCTACGTGTACTCTGGAGCCTGGTCGCCGCCCCAATTTTCTCGCTGCTGCAGTACTTATCATGGGTTCAAGCTTCAGCAGGTTGAACTTCAGACATCACAGATCCCATCAAGGAACCTGCCGAGCCGAAACGTGATGCAGACTGACGCGTCCGGGCGCGTCCTCGGCATCCTCAACACATACATAGGCTTTATACGACAAACGAATAACCCACTCGCAAATGCCTTCCCTCGCCGTTGTAGAAGCATCCAATGCTGCCTTCGCCCCCAGTTACATCCCCGTCGCCGTCGTCGTCGGCGGGACATCAGGTGTTGGCCAAGCTATGGCAGAGGCTCTCGCGCGACAGACGAACGGGCGCACACATATTATCATCGTGGGGCGCAACGCAGCAGCTGCTGCGGAAATCCTCGCGTCTTTCCCAAAGCCGTCAGGCGAAGAAGAAGGATGGACACACGAGTTCGTGCAGTGCGACGCGGCGAGCATGGCGAGTGTGCGCGTCGTGTGTAAGGCGCTCCTCGCCCGACTCAAACGCATTAATTTCCTGATCATCACCGCTGGAGGACCCGCGGCGAATTCGTTGACAGAGGCCGTTGTTACCCCCGAGGGAATCAACGCGCATTTGGCTATGCGGTTCGTCGTCTCTTCTTGATTTCTTTTCTCGTCTTTTTCTACGACTGATATTTGGCGCGCGTATATTTAGGTACTTTATGCGCTACCTCTTCACAAAGGAGCTCCTCCCGCTCCTCGTCGCCGCGAAGGAGCTGGGCCAGCCTGCGCACGTCATGACGGTCCTAGGCGCAGGGTTCGGGGTGCACATGCGCACGACTGACCTTGGGCTACACGAGGCGCGCAGCCGGTCGATCAAGCTGCTGCAGGGACTCGTGCCTGTTCGTTCCATTCCATCCATTCTACCACTCTGGGGATTTTTTGGATTCTAACCTAAATTCAGGACATCGCAGCAGTCAAGGGTATGATCACAGGTGTGGGCTACAACGATGGGCTCGTCGCGGTACGCGTCTCTTTATCCGTGTTCAACATTCAACCTCGCGTTCATCCTCGTCTAATCTACTACATTTCTGTTCTCGTCTAATTCATTCATCCACTAATTCCCTCTCTTTTGCAGCACTTTGCCGCTCTTCACCCCACCCTCGCCTTCACGCACATTCACCCTGGGCAGGTCCTCACCGCCGGCGGTTCCGACGTATCCCTCGGCTGGCTCTTTGCACCCCTCGCATGGCTCCTGGGCTACTTCAGGCGGACGCTGATTGCCTTCACCCAGGTGCGCTTTCTCTCTTTCATTTTTTCCTTCCTCACTGTCATCCCTTCTCCTCTTCTTTCTTTTTCACCAACTGTTTCTCGCAACTACCTACTTACATGTTACTATGTTTTGACTCATGATTTACGCTCTAACAGGACGAACGCGCAAAATATATGCTCTATGCACTCCTCGACTCCGAGCGGGGGCTGTTCATCCGCGGCGACCACGGCGACATCGTCTCTTCGCACGTCTTCACCCCTGACCACAAAGTGATAGAGGTGGACACTGCGTCGCCCGCTGCTAACAAATTTGTGTGTTCAATCCCTTCTTGGTTGGATGATGTGTTGTGGCTGATTCAACGTTCTTTACGCGCACACACAGGGTTTTCTGAACGGCGTCCCGATGAAGGGCTACGGCGGGTCCGACGCCGCCGTCGTGGGCTTGGTCGCGTACACGGAACAGATCCTTGCGGCGATTCCTTGACGCAGTTGAATATGTCGGACTAGGCAAGGGACTAGGACTATCCGATTGTATGATTGCTGATCCGCAGGTTAGCTGGATGTAATTAATCATATACCCATTTACGGTGGATTGAAAACCGCACGCTATCTCTCAACTTTGATGATTCGGGAGTAAAACGCGGTCGTCCAACCTCCATTCATTCACAATGCGCAGAACTCCCTGGCGCGTAGGTTCACTACCCTGCCACAACGTCAGCGCGGCCCGGATGCTCAAGTGAAACCAAGTCAACCTGCAGGTGAACCAGGTTGACTTGGCCTATTTACAGCGGCCTTCCAATAGCCTTTGCCATTTATCCTCGGTTTTTACCCCGACGATCCTTTTCTTCGAGCAGCACGCTCAATGCTCGTGTTATTGTTGACCAAGACTCAGGTTGGCAAATTCGCAAAATGGTCGAACGGTAACCCAGAATTAACAGCTCGTTGGAGATGCTAGAGTATACAATAGCCTTTATTAAACTTCATAGTACACTCCGCCGCAGGGCCCCAAAGGATCCGAGAGAAATGCGAACTTGAGCCTTGTTCATTGCAACTCCTGTCGATATAATTCCAGTTGTTCATCCGGGAGACTGGCGAAAACACTACATTCACTCGGGTGTGTTCCCAGTGCATGTAACATCAACGCAAAAAAGTCCTCGTCACCGTCGTATGTGATGAGAGCCCTATGTTGAAAGATCAAACAATGGATCATGAGTTTAAGTTTGAGTCGCTCATAAACGCGAAACGCACAGGCAAATGAGACAGTTTTTGGACCGGCCTCCGTCCGCCGGGCGGAATAAGATATCGAGATGTTTCGAAGTGATTATATTTGATGCCGAGGACTGTACAGTGTCAGTGTTCGATGGCATGCGTGCGGGGTCTCTGTCGGAGCCGGGAGATTTCTGAGACGGTTGCAGAGTAGGTGCGTCGACACTGCATGATGCGTTGTGGTGATTGCTAGACTGATATGTATCCGGTTACTGCAAGCGTGGAGAATAGGAGAGACGTACAGTATCGAGCCTCGCTAATTTCAGCTCCGCTGTGGCCGCACTGGCACGTTCCTCCGCTTCAGATAGCGCTCGAGACAGCTTCTTTCTCTCGGTCAATACTGCTGCCATGGTCAGTGTTGGCTTTGGAAATGTGACAACCTGGCTCACACTG